GAGGGAGGGAGGGAGGAAGGAAGGAAGGAAGGAAGGAAGGAAGGAAGGAAGGAAGGAAGGAAGGAAGGAAGGAAGGAAGGAAGGAAGGAAGGAAGGAAACGTTTTCAGAACTAACCTTTGCCTTCGACGAAATGAAAGAAGAACTCTGCCCATGACTCCGGTGTGACGTGACATCGGCTCATGCGGTGGAAGTGGTAGAGGGAGTTACACGTGTCTTTGGGATTCCTGGCGAGATACACCACCTGTGGGAATAAGACAGGAGGCGCTTCAAAATCAGGTCTATTAGTACAACCTGAGAGTCTTTAAGGACGGTTTGCACAAATACTTCCATCAGTAGCACACCAGCACTTGTTCGACAGGATTGTTTGTTTTTTTAATTATGTACATTGTATATATGTTATTGATTTAGATGTGTTTTGTGACTTTGTCAACTATGTATGTATATATGTATTGTCTGTGTGAATGAATACCAGGAAGACTAGCGGTTATTCTAATAAAGTTTCAAAGTTTCAACCCACAGCTATTTCCAGATCATTACAAAACTTTTCAGTCTGCGACAAAATTACCAATAGTACCAAAGTACAAGAATTAAGTTAACGGAAACATAAGAGGGAGTATGCTTGAGTATTTTGCAATACCGTGGGGTGAAGGGTCGATGTAAACTTTCCAACACTTAGGATCAATGTAAACTTGTTATCGCCATATCCTATATTATAACGGACCTCAAAATTGCCACATTTTCTGTCTTCGTCTGATTACCTTGCCTTTCCCCTGCCTGACCTGTGGCGGGACCATGCACCAGGGCAGGCGGGTTTTCATGACTCTGGGTCCCGGGGCGGCGTCCAGCAGGAGGCGGTTGGGCACCCTGGTCCCGACCGGCCGCTCCTCCAGGCACGGGACCCGCTCGTACACAGGCACGGTCGCCACCCGGCTCACGTCCCCGCCGTTAAAGATGAGAGACACGATCTCTTCCATCCACGTGGAACCTGCACGGAGCGGGTGAGAACGGCAAAGGGTCAAACTAAAAAAAAAAAAACACCCAAACTTTCCGCGATCTACAGGCCAAACCTGAGGGATGTAGAATGCATTAAAGTACGTATACATGTACACTAGTATTTAAGGCAAAAAATGTTTGTTGAACTTGTTCTCACTGCACAAATCAAGCATTCATTGACACCTTTAAGTATGTGTCGCAAATTGAATGTTCCGTAAATTTAAATTTCCTCTCTCATGTGCACCTATACGCGTGCTTTAAGTCATAGTTAAAACTAGGATTTTGTGCAGTGTCTGCTCAGAACGATAAAACGTTGGTAAAATTAATGATGGGATTTTTGATATTCTACACCTAAAACTGTCAGTTGTCTTCTGTACTTATCAGCTATCCTATCTGTGTTGGATAACGTCTCATGTTGTTTGCGCATTCAAGATAAGAAATGTAAAAACTGATAGCTCGTTGAAATGCTTAACATTCCCATTGTTGTGACAATAGAATGGAAATGCGTGGGTGTCTTTTATCTGTGCACTTATTGATTTTAAGAATTATGTACTGTGTAGAATTGATTTTGTCGATTGTTGTCGCTCTGTGATGGTTCACGGATGAATACTTCGCTTGCGGCTAAACTGTGTGCGTTCTGCGGGTATTTACCAAACGCTTTGGTGCGTGTAAAACAAAGCTGTACGGCTGGAACGAAAGATGCAGTATTCATCTGAGCGTTTGCACGACGTACACGATAATATAAATAAATGGAAACGCATTCTATATTTGTCAAGTCCTAAAACACGAACGTTTGCCGTTAATCTTGGCATTTGAATCAATACCGCCCTTGACAAGTCTTTTAAACCACGAATCTTCATGAATATTTAACAGGTATTTCTTTACCTTCAGGGTCCGTGTTGACGGATGTGGAGCTAGATTAGATGTTTTTCTGATCAGTTCGGGTTTACAGGCGGGCCAGAGGTTGGGCAAGGTCAGGGTCAGAGTCTCCACGGATGCCGGTTTTTATCCCTTTTACTGGTGCAACAAAACATTAGCGCGCTAGCAGGGGGACAAGGACACGTGCTGGTGGGGTGGGGGGAGGGCTTGAATACAGGACAACAGTTACAGTCGCTTAGAACAAACACTGCCCCAGTTTTAAGGACCTTTGCACTGTTATGTATATATAACGTTACGTGGGCGAACTTGCCTCGTAACATTATGACTGAGCTCACGGCAGCCGAGTATCGCAAAGAGAAGGTGATATTCAGAACGCGTACGTGAATTTTCTCCGTGGGAGGGCGATATTCAATCGGCGGACGTGACCCTGACTGATGCGGTACAGAGCTGACCTTGGCCCGGCTGGAGGACACTGCCCTGCCCTGCCCTGGGACACGGATCGGTTGCCAAATTTACGCCCGGCTACTGTTTCAAATGTCTGGCGATCGGAAATAAAAGCCTTGCTTGGCGTGGATAAATTGTAGGAGCCGAAAATGGGAAAAGTCTATTACTCTGAGACGCAACATAATCGAATGCGCCAAAGCAACGTAACGTTATGTAATACCTTTCTTGTGGTACACACACTCACTGAGCAAGTAAAGATGTGACCTCGTTGGGGTAATTACCTGTCAGTGAAGAGGTGAATAGTTGTGACAAGGTTTTGAACGAATTGTTTTCATCAAAATAGAGCAAATATACCCAGTTCCTTCAAGGGCGCTATATTCAATATAACGTCCTTGGCTCCTTTCAAGCCCTCTCTGCTGTGTTGCCGATTTTTACATACGCATGTGACATGTAAATCGTTGTCGCAGTCTCACCATCTGTGTATGAAATAATCACCACTTATATCAGCAGTAGAGAATCATAATTGGTTTCAAGCAGTTTTAGTTCGCTGTTACGATTCAAAGATGTTTGCCAGGATGACATTATAACTAGCTCTACACGTAGATATAGTCTTAAATTGTCTTACCAGTCACCTTTCATTTACAATATAACATTACCTACCATTGATTGAGCTTTGAAATTTCATATTTTTCCTGCATGGTGTTTCAACCATATGGGGAAAACGTAGCAGCAGTTTTGAATACTAGAATTAACGTTATATTGCTATTCTCCAGTCCTAGCTGAAAGAAAAGTATAATTCGCTAAACTTTGCCATTTTCCTTTTTTCGTCATCACAATATAAATTGAATATACGTGTCGTTAGCATCCTTCGTTGTTTACGCACTGTAGCTAGCAATAGGGAAACATCAGTGATTTTCTACCACATGTTCATGTTGCTATATTCTATACCTCAGCAAAATGACGAGCACAGCTGACTACATTAAACACGTGTGAGAACGCTGTCAGATAATGATCTATGTAGATAGATAATGGATGTAATTTTTACGGATAATTCGGCCTAAAATGAGCTAAATTGGTGTACATAACGTTACCGCCACATTAAGGGTGAGATTGTGTACTACCAGTTGTACTTGATTAGATTTTGGTTACTTCGAAAAGAAGGAATCGTTACAGTTTACGGAAACCTTGCCTAGTTGAAGTGTTTTTCATGGGCCAGCTGATCAACAAGATTTAGCATAACGTAGGACTGAAATAAGTCCACGGAAGTATATATTTGTTCGCATCACGAACTGTTGGGTAGTTGTGCAAAATATGAAAATATTTCTGTTTAGAGTGCGACAGAAATATATGTTCTCACCTGACCGTGGATAGCTGGCGATGAAAATGTCATCGTCTCGAACTTGAAATCCCTGAAGTGCCCTGATGTCTTCCGGTGGATACAGCGCCGAAAACATGACTCCCTGATACTCCCTGTAGTCAGACGGTTGCAGGGGAACTACGGAATGATATCTGTGTAAAACTGGCATGGCGGTGGGCTGGTCTGACTGCTGCTGGAGAACAAAGCATCGCCAAACACAATGCTACAGCAGTCCCCGAATGTGATTCAAGGTGCCGCCGCCGGTCTCACCTTGTCGCGATGCCTACTGCCGTCCTTCTTAGTTGACCCGTCTCTTTACATGTAACACTTGACACATGGGCTCGGAATGAACTTTCACCCAACAAATCGTTTTTTATCTGCTAGCGCCACAATTAAGCAGCCAGGGAAGTATAGAATAGCGGGGATTTTGTGATAATAATAGGACCAGTGTTGCATGCAATATCGACGGCGAAATAGCCTTAAGGCACTGCGTGGTTTGTTCGCGCTCTAGGAGAACTGGTTCGTTCTGTTGCGGTCTTGTAACGGTGACGTCAATGGCGCGACGGGACGCGGTAGGTCAGCTGAGGACAAGTCCAAGTGTGGGATCATGGAGACACCGGCTTTGGCTTTGCTTGTGAAAATCGAGGATTTTAGCGGCTTTCTTTTCTAAATTATGGTGAAAGTATTAAAGATTGGACTGCTGTGAAGCTAAAGGTTTCAGCCTTGTCAAGATGAACTTGCTGTTTACTTTTAGAGAAACTAACGTTGCATTTGGTAACGTTACTGCTGAATGTTTTTCTTGGCAAAAAAATGTATGAGAACGAAATTGAAGTAACGTTAGTCGGCAGTTTCGTCCAATGAAAAGAAAATTCATTCTACGTGAGGGTAACACCAAGGACGTTTGCATTGCCGTCCTTGGGCCCTACGCGCGTGGTTGTAGCGCCACCTACCTACTTTTCTTTGCGTTGCAGAAAGAGCGTCTGCTAAAAACATGGCGGCCGTTTCCGGTACAGAGCTGTGCGATCCTAAAGTTATTTCTGCGAAAACCTCTGCAGAAAAGAGGAGGAGATTTACAGGACCGAAAGGTATGGACTATCAGTATATAGTAAATCATATGAAGTATGTCTTGCAGTATGAAATATCGAATATCATACATGCAATATGAATGTGTGTGTACATAGGGGTGGGAGGGGGGCATACGATTTGGGGTGATAGGAAAGACCATAATTTTGTAGGTTAACGTAGTAGATAGCATTGACAGCGTAAGAAAAAAAAGTTTCTAACTAAGACCCAGAAAAACATGACGATCTGCATTTCCATGTCTGCCCAACAGGCGGTGCTGCGGCACGATTGGCACACCAGATTCCAGACGACATTCTCAACAATGTGGAGCTACAGAAGGCAGTTCAACAGGTGATGTGCCACCACTTTTATCATGACAAGGTCCAATCAGCGGATAGTATAGTATATAGTATATAGTATAGTATAGTATAGTATAGTATAGTATAGTATAGTATAGTATAGTATAGTTAAGGTAGTCTTAATAAAGTTAATAAAAGTTGTTGAATTTCATTGCCTGTTTCAGTTGCCTTCAAACTACAACTTTGAAGTCTTCAAAACAATATGGAGAGTCAAATCTTCAGGAGCCAAAAGAGGTAACTGAATTTTGTTGAACATTGTTGCTTTTATTTTTAAACATATGGTATCATAGCCTGTGTTACACAAGCCCTCTGCAACTTCGGGGCGGCCGGCCGCCAGGAGCGCAATTAGTCAGGCTAATGGTATCAGCTTTTCACCTATTGAACTTAACAATTTTGAAGTTTAACTTTTGTTCATTTTCCAGTGGCCTTACAGTTTCCAGAAGGTCTCCTGATGTTTGCGACCACAATTGCAGACATTATAGAAAGGTTTGTCCTCTTGTTTCAAACTATGTGTCAGGCTTTTCCAGAATACAGCAAATGGGGAATTTTATGGGAAACAGACTTGATACTCCATACCTTGAATCAGGCAGCAGTGATGTGTAATTCCAGTACAAATCAGAACCAGTCATTGTTGCCATGATCGATGAAGAAGGCAACAGACGGTCACCAAAACTTTGGATGTAAAAACCCACTGGTTGTTGAATAAAGAACCTTCTTATACAACCTATTTAAATATAGGTCAATACTTAACTGAGCGTAAAAAAAAGAAGGTACAACAATTGTCAATAGATGTCCTTTCAGGTTTCAACATTAAAGAAAAATTTGGTAACAAAAACATTTGACACTCCTTTAATGTGCTAGACAGACTTGAGTTAGAGTTTGTTTTTTCTCTGTGTTACAGGTTTACAGAAGCTGACACCCTGATCATGGGAGATGTGACGTACGGTGCCTGTTGTGTGGATGACTTCACTGCCAAGGCCCTGGGTGCTGACTTCATGGTGCACTATGGCCACAGCTGCCTCAGTAGGTCCTAATACACTAGTCTTATACTAACGTACACACCACACCTACCTTCTTTCATCCATTTGTTCATTCATCCCTTCATTTCTTCTTGAGCTTGTCTTTATCCTTTTCATTGATTGATTTTTTGTCATTCAAACATTTCTTCATTCACATCCAGTTTGCATAATAGACCACTCAGTACTGTAGGTACTTGTAGTTATGTAGTTATTAACTTTCTGTATACTGTATTGCAGTTTTGATATGTTCAGTTGTTTGGAGAAATAACATATGATAAGCTTTCTGACTAAAAAGTTGGAAGAATGAAGGCTAGTAAGCTTCTACTTTTGAGTCTTTCTACTTGTTTTGTCTTTTGTTTTTCTTGCTCAATTCATAGATATCCATAGCAAGTTATTCTGGACATCTTTTCAACAATGTTCATCATTCCTGTTATCATTTTTATTTATAAAAAAAACTTCTCTTCACCTGTGTGTTGTACAGTCCCCATCGATGCGACATCAGGGATGAAGATGCTGTACGTGTTTGTGGACATTAAGATCGACACCATGCACTTCATCCAGACTGTACACCACAACTTCAGCCCTGCCTCCTCCCTGGCACTGGTCAGCACCATACAGTTTGTGGCTGCACTTCAGGCAAGTTCTGCTAGGAGGTGTTGCTAGTATATAAGAGAGCAATGTTGTTTTCTTCCAAAATTTCTTCATAAGTTTGCCAACAGTGGATTGTGGACAAGGGCAATCAGTTTGCTGTATAAAGTGGGGTGAAACAGGTCATTTTTGGCAATGCCTCAGGGGTGGAGCGATTGGTACCTTACAGACTCCAGCTGTAGGCTTACAACAAGTTTGTTGTTTTTCTCCAGGCTGCTAAACAAGAGCTGAGTACAGACTACAAGGTTCATGTTCCCCAGTCCAAACCCCTGTCTCCGGGGGAGATCCTGGGCTGTACTGCTCCCAGACTACAGGACACTGATGCCATCATGTGAGTTCTGTTGTGCTAGCTTGAACAGAAACAGCAGAAGATAATTTCACATATGTCATTGGATGTATATCATCTGTCAATGGGTAAACCAATTAACAACTTAATTCCTTGTACCTTGAATCATCTGTTGTAAGATTGTGTACAAGAAAAGACTACTATAATTACAAGATGCTCACTTCTCTTTTGCTATTGAGTATTTTGTCTTGACTGATAAATGGAGTAGTGGGATTGGATGCACTGGTATTTATGTCTTTGCCTCCCACCTTAGTTACCTAGGTGATGGCAGGTTCCATCTGGAGGCTATCATGATCGCCAACCCTGAAGTTCCAGCTTACAGGTCAGAGTCAAACAAAGTCATTACACTTATACTATAGTTTCTGCAGTCGATAACTTTGTTAGCCTGAGATGCAGATGCATTAAAAGTGATCTGAGCTCTGCATGAATACACATACTCTTAAGTGAAAGAGTTAGGACTGAGTCTCTATGTAGATCGAGAACACTACACTCAGGGAAGTGTCTTACTGCTTTGTGAATACCCTGGAGTGAAAGAACTACAAGCTGGGCTCAAACAGTAGAAATGAACATATATGAAAAACTAGTACAGCTGCAGGACATCTGAAATACCTGCACAGCCCCAATTTCAAAGTTCACCATCTTGTACCCTGTATTCCGAGCCTGTACAAGCAAGTCTCTATGTTGATCTCTCTATACTACACTGTTCACCTATGTTTTACTGTGTATATCCCCATGTTAAGGTATGACCCGTACAGTAAGGTGTTCTCCCGTGAGTACTATGACATTGAGCTGATGCACCACAACAGACACCAGGCCATCCAGACGGCCGCTCAGGGGAACAAGTTTGGACTCATCCTGGGTACCCTGGGCAGACAGGGGTCTCCTAAGGTCTTAGAGGTAAGAAATCAGGATGTGTGAGGGTGGTGTGTGACTCTTTGAAACACATCCTGAAGTGATTATTCAGTAACCATAAGGTCTTGAAATCTTAGAATTATGGAGGCTAAGATAAATGTATGAGGTTCTTTAGTTCTTTCTGCTACTGGTCAAGGTTGACTGTGCAGATTTGCACATGTAAATTTGTTTACTTTTGTAGTTGTTTTATTTTGTAGTTGGAGGGAAAAGGAGATTTTTGCAATGTTAGAATTCAGGGTTGAAACCACTCTGTAGAAAAGTAGTAATACATTGGAAACAAATATCTGTGGTGTTATGAATTTGCGGTGAAGAGCTGATGCCAAAACCTTGCAAATGATTAAGACTACTACTGTACCACCAAAGACTTGACCTGGATTTGTGTACATGTACTGTATTACAGCACCTTGCAGAGAAGCTCCAGCAGTGTGGTAAGGAGTATGTCACAGTCTTACTGTCAGAAGTCTTCCCAGACAAACTCAACATGTTCTCAGACATAGACGCGTGAGTAATCTTAGTATCTTGTATGTCTTTAACTACATAAGCCTGGAAAATTATTTAATGTCATAATACAGAACTTTCTGTCTGCTTCTGGTTGTCTCCTTTAAAACTAAAAGTTTGGATGTCCATGTTGTGTAGGTGGATCCAGGTAGCCTGTCCACGGCTGTCCATAGACTGGGGAACAGCATTCACTAAGCCTCTGCTCACACCTTATGAGGTTTGAAAATATACATTAATAGATGTACATGTGTGTGTGTGTTTGTGAATATGCGTGAAATTATGTGTGTTTCTGCTTGCATGTGTTTTTGTGTGTATGCATTGTCCATATGCTGTGAGTTTGTATAATGTGAATGTGTGTGTTTGAATGTATGTGTTTCAGTGCATTTGTGAGGTACTGTATTTGTGAGTGAAGTCTTCTATCTCTGATTGCCTTGTTGTACATGGCAATGTAGTTTTCACTGAAGGCTGTACTCTGTCCTTGGTGCTGAATGTCTTCCGTTGGCTATTCTGTAATGTAAATGTGTGTGAATTTGTGTGTTTGAATGTGTGTATGTGTTTCACTGTATTTGTGACTGAAGTATTCTATCTCTAATTGTCTTGTTGTACATGTAGCCATTTGTTCATTTTGTTTTGATCCTGTTTTTTTTTTTATGTCTCAGGCCTCAGTTGTGCTTGATGCTGTAGCCTGGCAGAACACCTATCCTATGGATTTCTACGCTAACTCCAGTCTAGGGCCCTGGACCGTGAACAACGAGAAACACAGGCCGTCACGACCCGTCAGACAGAAAAGAACTGTTTCAGCAAAGCCAACGTTAAATCCACCGGAGTCTAACCCAACTGGCTCGTGTGAACGTAGAACTGAGAGAAAACCAGATGTGGAAAACCTGGCAGAGTTTGCACTGAAGTCATGTTGTGGAAAGGAGTCATGTTCAAAAGATGCACAACAGTGAAAAGAACCTCATTGGCAATTGTCACAGATTGATAGAAGAAGGGCTGTACAAGAGTTAAAGCTAACTGAAGCATCTGAGAGAGGGCAAAAGTAACACCAGTGTATGTCATGAACTTCTAAGCTTAAAAGTACTCTCTTTGTCTGTGTTGAAAGTGAAACACAAAACATACACACATAAAAGACAAACTCAGAAATTAATCTTCATATAATCATTTTCATAACTCTACAAGATGAAACTTAGGTCATCATCTACACAGATATCTTTTCATCATATAAATCTTGTTTCATTTATGCATATAGAACCATGATCTCTTGTGACTTTGTCCAAATATACCACTCAGAGTCTTACAGTCTTTGTTCAATCTGAGAGTATTTGTCGTACTAGTATTGCGAATCAAAGGCATCAGTAGTCACGGCCACCAATCTGCAATCCACTCTGCAAACAGCAAAAACAAAAAGGAGTTGAGCAGTAAAATCTTTCCATAAACTGGCAAATATACAGTGTCATGGATTGTATTGTCAGGGGAGAGTAAAAAAACGTGGCTGTTTCTATTAAATGCAGGTTTGTTTTTGGTGATGCCCCTAAAGCAGAACAAACAGTACCTTCAAGGACTGTACATACTATTAGCAAGTTTGGTACCTCCATGAAAAATTGCTTTTGGTCTGTCTGTGTTTTCCCATATTAGACTCACTTGTCCTTAGGGTCGTGGTGTCGTTGGTAGAAGGAGAACGAGAGGGCCAGAGATCACGTGGATCATGATGTCATCAAGATTTACAACGGACCTCTTCCCCAGCCAGTGTGTCATACACCCATGGGCACACCTGTTAGACATGCAGGATCCAGAGTTAGTGGCAAAACAATGAGAAACATTCATGATTTGATATAAACATTAACATAACTTGGCAAAGGTTACACAATCGTAGAACTCTTAGTTAGCTTAGAATTACCAAGTACATTTGCTTGGAAGGTTAATTCTCTCAACAACTCTAATATAATTTGATAGAAGCACTCTCGAAGCAGATATTAGACTATTCCTTCGCTGTTCTAAAAATTATCAGTATTCTCTCCTGTCAAAAAGTCAGTGTGGAACATTACAATATTCCCTTTCCATACCTACTTCAAAGATAATAGTAGTCCCTGACCTGTTTCCTGGTTGAGAAGCCCTGCAGACAAGGACACTGCACCTCAAGTAGACCCTAGTGACGTCACTGACAAAGTTGAAGGCTTGGAACTTGAACCTGTCCACAGAGTGTCGTGGGGCGGCCAGCTGGTGGTAGGTTGGGTCTGCACCGCACCTAGGAACCAACACGGAGGTAGATTATTGTCAAAAGCAATGATCCATACCCTTTCAGATTAGTAAGCAGATGTTTCAGTTGCTGCTAGATAATATTGAACTGGCCAGGCAGTACCCATTGTCCAGGCAGTTACTATTTGCCAATAGAAGTGCTGCCGTAAAAAAAGATATGTATACCAGTGCAAAAAAGAAAGCCCAATATTAAAACACCAAAAACCTCTATTTGGAGAGTACTTTCACAGATATTTTAGCATCACTCACTCACTATCCTGGTTATACTGCTGCCAGTTTCCCTGTCCCAGGGGTGGGCAGCAGTCGGCTGTTCTGCACACCTCGCCTTCAGCTGGCTGTCCTTTGGGTCTGTGCTGGACAGACCACACTCCTTGATGTCCTTCCGGATATTTTAGCATGCTGAGAGTTTAAAATAAAAACTCACCCTTCCTGAATGATCTGATACTGGTACCCCCCACCAGTGGAAGTGGGCACATCCGTGGTTACACAGTCCTCCACCATGATGCTGAGGTCAGGGTCAGAAGTTAAGAGCTCGATCTCCACTATCACGTCTCCACCAATCTTCACAACGAGAGGAGAGTCGGTGTTGTACGACAGGCAACTGGCATCGCGACAGAACCTGGGATGGGTGTTTGTTTTTCAGTGATTAAAGCGTTTTATCAACAAAAAAAAAACGAGTAACAGTCCATAAAATTTCATTCTTTCCTAGAACTATCTCATAGTGGAGCTCTCTGTCATCAAGTACAGTGGGGGCATATTATAATTAAATAGCTTTAAACAATGTCTAGAGTTAGATGTTCAAGGGTTAGGTGTAACAAGTTGTTCGGTGTAATGTAGCCAGCTGCTGCCCCGACTATACGGATACAGATAAAACATGAAAGAAAGTCAAGATCAAGAAACATTCAATATTCTAATGACTGTGGATAACATGTGTAAAACATTTTCAAATAGTTCTCACAGTAAATTGTGCTCTTACTTCTTACCGCGAAATATTGTCTTTCGCCATGCTTCTCACTGTAAACTAGCTGTTCCTACCTCCCAATGCAAAATATGTTATTTCTCACCGTAGAACAGCCTGTAGTTTCCCCGTGCCCTGTTCGTAGAACCTGTCGGGCTGAAGTACGGGGTTGTAGCCGGTCAGGACAGACTTGTGCCGCGGCATCTGACAGGTGAAGTCCAGCTCAAACCCGCAGGCTCGGACGATGGGGGAGGTGGAGGCCCTGGGTAGACTGCCTCCGTCCTCTATCACCTTGTTACGGTACAGGATGAAGTCTGCTGTCATCTGGGGGAGAGATGGGAAGACTTAACATCATTTGGAGGGGTTACACATATGTATTTTATCTCTTTTCCAAGTTATTGGCATGTTTTTATAACAGAAAAGTGTTTCAAAATGTGCAATATTACAAGGGAAGGAAAAAATAGTAATAAGGTGGATTCTCGTCTTTTTTTTCAAATTCATGATCAGAATTGACTTTTAGTTCAGCATTTCTCTTGCAATTGTACTAGTTATTGGTAAAAAGCTGAAAGAACAACAGTAGAATCTAAAAAAAAAACACTTTTTTGTCTGGTTCAATGATTCCCATGTTGCTTTTTTCATGTCCATAGCTTTGCTATTCATAAAAGTATTAATGTCAGCTTGATATATCACGTTGGTGATATTCTCAATCTACATACCGAGCTGGTTGTCCCACATCCCACCAGTGGTGCCAGGATGCTGACGTGGGTGCTGTTGCCCCGCGCAGTACAGGACGGATCTGCTAGGTGGAGTGCCGGTGCGTACACTTGTGGAAAATACATTCGCGGGAAATCCACTTGCATGGAGAAGGAGGAGCAGGATATGATCGCATATGTACGAAGATCTGGAAAAAAAATGTGTGACAAAACCCAAATGAATGACAAAAAAGTAGCATTGGACTGTTTCTACCTATATAAGCATTTCTTTAAAGGCCTTAGAGGCTTTGAAAAGCACAAGGCACAATAATGTCAAATGCGGTTTAGTCAATGCTTTAAAAAATGATCTGTCAAAACTCTTAATAAAATATATGCTGAATGGATATATGATCAGTGACCGCATGAAAACAAAATTGTGTTAGCTAGTGTATATCCTTCTTGACGAAAGTGGCTCCGCTCCTGGGGCGTCACCAAAAAATTCACCTTCTGAGGAAATAGGCCCCGAGCGACTGACCCCCGGGAACCCTGAAGATCCGGATGTTTGGTTATCTGTTGATGTTGTTGGCTCCGACAGACATAACTCCGTCTGCAAAGGACCCTGCTCTGCAAAAGCCGACAGCGACTGAAAGTCCTCAACACTGGAAGATAGCAAGTGAGAGAACTTGATTTGTTGACCATTGCGTCGAAACACTCTTATTTTAAACCTCTGCTAGCACAACCTCTATATGGTTCTCCTTGCAATTAGAAGTTCAACCAATGAGAGAGGGGCAATTAGCAGTTTGACCAATCATCCTTACTTGTAGACTCTGGTTGGATCGCCCGCCAGGTCGGTAAGTTCCCGGAGGTCCACCTCGGTGCCCACCCCCACAGCGTACAGCGTGATGCCGTCCTCCCGCGCGCGGTCTGCCGCCATGCGAACACTCACCCGCGACTCGGGGTTGTTCTTACCGTCTGTGATCACGATGGCAATCTGTAGAAAGGACAACGGTTTCTGAAATGTTGCCTAACGCTATTTCAGTAGCGAAGATTGTACTGTCCTTGGTGCTGAATGCCTTCCAATGGCTATTCTGTACATTAGATAGGGTGTTTCTATACATTATATAGGGTGTTTTAACAACCGAAGGTTGTACTCTGTCCTTGGTGCTGAATGCCATCCATTGGTTATTCTGTACATTATATAGGGTATTTCTGTACATTATGTAGGGTGTTTGTGCAACCGAAGGTTTTACTCTGTCCTTGGTGCTGAATGCCTTCCATTGGTTATTCTGTACATTATATAGGGTGTTTCTGTACATTATACAGGGTGTTTTAAGAACCGAAGGTTTTACTCTGTCCTTGGTGCTGAATGCCTTCCATTGGCTATTCTGTACATTGTATAGGGTGTTTGCATGCACGGCCGTACCCCGAATAGGAAAACTTGACACAAACATTGGCATGAAAACAAAAACACGCCAATGTACAATAGTTAAACAATTATAACGTTAATTCCCTTAATTGAAAGACAGTCTTGCTTTATCACGTGTTTTTCACGCAACTACTGAAGGGAAATCTCGCTTCATCACGTGTTTGTCACGTGACTACTGACCTTTTTCGCACCCTCCCTCTGAGGGAACCTGCTGGCCATGTACATGATGGCCTTCCCGGTCTCTGTCCCAGGGCCGTCCATGTACACGATCTGTCCCAGGGCATTCCTCAGGGTGTGAACGTCCGGTAGGTCAAACCAGAACTCGTCCTGCTGCTCAATGCTGTAATATGTAAACAGTGATCACATAATCAGTGTGTTTACTTTGGAACTTTATTCTCATACCGTGTTACAGACTTTGTTCTCATACCACGTGGCAGACTTTTTCAACGACACTTGAAAGAAAAACAAGAATGTTAAAAGTACTTATTGGTCTTACAATATAAGTCTTACAATGATTAGAATGTGAAATACCGGTACGTTAGATTTGAATAGTTCTCTAGAAAACGGAAAAACAAAAACAAGCACATAGATATTTACAATTTTACCCGTGGTTACAGGTTCATATATATGGATTTCTTCAACAGATTGGTCATTTTCAGAATGGCTGAATTTTAATGGCGCATTGTGCAATAGATAGGTGTGTCCAATTTATTGGCGTGCACGTGTCTGTATTTGTTTCCTAGGTAGAACGTATCTGTATCTGTATAGCCGGTATAACCACCCTAACACACCTGCTTCGCAGGCACACGGCGCGGCGGCAGCTGGCTACATTACTGCCTTGTTACACCTAACCCTTGAACATCTCACTCTAAAGATTGCTTAAAGCTATCTAATGACAATGCTCCTACTGTATTTGGTGACAGTGAGCTCTGCGATAGTTCTAGGAAAACCTGTACACACCTGTACTGAATGGTAGCAACCCGCGTCTTGTTGGGCCCGATGTCGAAATCGCTGACCAGTTGTCGGCAAAACTTCTTCTCCTTCTCGAAGTTGAGGTGCCCGACACTGGCTGACCCGTCCAGCAGGAAGATCAGGTCCATCTCCACCTGACACTCCGGCTCCTGGAACTGTTTCAGTCCGATGGCGGAAGGGTGGAACGCTGGTAGCTCCAGGAATGTGGGTCCTGTAAATCCATTCATATTTGAATTCATGATTTGAAATACAAAGTAAGTCACAACTATTTACTGTATCAGGGACCATGTACTACAATCAAATTCCTAAGATATAGTCGCCAATAAAAAGTGTTTTCTGGTAGTATAATGGTGTTGTTGATATGTCATATGACATAGCTGCACAAGTGTTGTACATCTATTAACTGTACCAGGGACCGCGTACTACAACTAAATTCTTTCTTGTATATGTAAAATGTTTTCTTGTAAATGTAGTATAATGGCGTCGTTGATACCGAGAGAACTTTATTATTAGCTGCACAGGTTTTGTACATATCCGATGGAATGCTTTACAAAAAGCACCATCATTTCCAAGCTTACCATTGTGATACGATAAAAGTCCCATTCAAATAGAGATGCCGAGGTACCGCTATCCAAATTTTATCTAAGAATTAATAAATCTTGCGTCCAAACTATACATCAAAGTTATACGCACGTCTGCAAGATCTCGGTAGCGGGAACAGACAGTCCCTGAATCCGCATGCGCAGACGGGGGAAGGTCTGTCGTTCATGCAGAATCCCACGTCACACTCACATCCGGGTACTGGATAGCCGTAATCTCCACAGTAACCTAATCAAAGACGTAAAGTTGACTGAAAGTTAGATATTTTGTACCATAACCATAGTTATTACTAACACTGGGAAATTTCTGAAAATGTGAATTCCATGATATAGTGCCAAGCTAGGCATGCGCTCTTGTTCTCGTACCCAGACACCCGCTCTCGTCCTCAGAGTTCATACAGTCCGCAGTGCCGTCACAGACCCAAAGAGAAGGCACCACCTCACGGTCGTTACAGACGACGTTTTTCCAGTACCTGACATGTGCATGAAAGAACCGAAAAATTACACATAAAACACACTCGTACATAGCGCCTTCCTCCCTATTTTGCTCTCTTCTACTACTACTACTACTACTAGTCAGTCTCGCTACTACTATTACTACTACTACTACTACTGATAGTCAGTCTCGCTACTACTGCTACTACTACTACTACTACTACTACTGTCAGTCAGTCTGGCTAAACCACGAAAATGTAGGATAAATATTGAAGTACTAAATTGCAGTACAACCTTCTCCCTTCGCCAAACCTAGCACGTTTACTCATCCATCTAGAATGGACCGCCGTGTCCCTCAAAAGTTTCAGGAGCCCTTCTGAAGACTGGGCGGGTTCTTTGCCCTCTCCATCGGCTACTGAACGGCATCGTCCGTTGACACATTGTCGCTCCTCTTTCTCCACTCCTACAGTCACTTGTAGTAATACGAAAAGATCCAATCTTAGGGACGGCCAGTAATGATGTCGTAGTAGAAGGATGCCTTTAATGCACTGTCCCTAAATGTACATATCATATATAGTGCAGTACCATATCGTCGTATGTTATATATAGTGTGATAGCCATTGGTTACTAGTACTATTAAACAGTTACTAGTACTGTCAAAAACACTTTTTGGCTCTTTTAAATGCTAAACGTGGTAATAAATGGCTAGGTTTCAATACGGTTTCTTGCATTTTTTTTTTACATCAGGCAGAAATTGCATGCATGATGATTCAATTACTCAGTGAGCGGTGAGCCTCAATCTCAAATGCAACCTAAGTTTCGAGCTCAATCACTAGTACACGAGTCACTTTATCAAAAATCTTAGCATAGAAGCTTTATTCCAGCAACGTTAATTGACAAGAAGAAGATAACAGTTTGTAGAAACGATAAGTTACATTTGTATGTCACAATTTCGCACGATTAAAAGGTAGATATACCAGCTCTGTATACAATTTTACCCTCTAAATATTACTTCTACAAGGTCACATACCTGTCTCTGCCACACAAAGTACCAGATCATTGAAAAACAGCGTTAAAATAACCGACTTCAGGAGCATGCCTGCTCGACACACGGGCGCCGCCATGACAGTTGTGACGTGGCACGCCCTCCTGTTTCAGAGAAACACCTGTTCTGACGGTGACTACTTAATGTAATTACATCATGGCCATGACTGACGTAATTTGTCCTTAATCGCAATAGTCGTATTTAAGCTACAACTTTGCAACGCAGTCTATATTGAACACGTGGTACCCAGTGAACTTGATAGAGACACTGGAACATGTTCATGAAAACTTTATTGATAAGTCCTGTGTTGCAGTAACTTTCCATATGCAATACTACATGTAGTATGCCCCGAAGCACTGGTTGCAGGTATCTAGATATCACAATATTTTATCCAGCAATGTCACTTCGCAAGAATACAAATGTACTAAACTGTGTGCCCTCCGTTTTAACAGCTTGATGGCATACAAAGTAAAAGCATTTTGATATCTAACTTTGATATTTCGCATACATATAGCAAAGTCTTCTTTTACGCTATCTTACTTTAAACATTATGAAAATATAAACGGTTTAATCTTTAGCTTCATTGATGCCGTCACCGTTGTAGGCTATAACTGCCCAGTGTTCTTTTAAGTAAGAACTAGAATTACTAAATTTATGTATGTTTTACTGGGCAGATTTTGATGCCAACTATACAGATAGTATAAACTAAAATTAAAATAAAGCAAATACTATGCATTGTACATTAAATCATTTGGTTTGTTGCTGTTTCTTTAACATATATATCAAGTCGAATTATGATTATTCTGCGCTGGATTACCGTGAGCTGCTAAGAATGAATGAACGTACATGTATATCAAACATGGACTATGATCATAATACAGCGTTGGTATTTCTGCACATGGAACTGATCCTAAGTTGTCAGCAATTCAAAAATAATCATTATAAAGCGGGTGAAATAAAGTAAACTGTCTTAAACTATCCCTTCCACCGACAGTATTGTTTGCTGTACAAATGCTGCTTCTGCATGGTGCTTCGTGTCTTGAGCATCAGATATGTCCGTTTACTACTGGCCTGGACTGCTTTGCTCTCTTCTTTGCCTTGTACTTCTCGAACATCTGTAGCCGACTGGGGTCCAGTTTTCTCACCTGAATGGAAGAAGGTAGGCAAATATCAGTTAATGTTCAAGCGTTGATTGTAAACACCACAGAAGAACAGCATGTAGCCTTATCATATTATCATACAAAAGATGGAAAATGTCGACTTTCTCAGTGCTGAAAGGAGACAAGTTCCTTTATCATCACAATATAACAGTTGTCCCTGTATGCAAGACCATTTCGTATGGGGGGTTAGCTTCTCTGCCTTCCATGACGCCCCCCTCACACACACACACACACACACACACACACACACACACACACACACACACACACACACACACACATGTTGATTTTTATGAGGATGCTGTTGTTTTCGTTCGTCGGTAGACTTATGTAGAACATTCCCACTTACCTGTGAACTATCGTAGCTGGACCAGGAGTGTAGAGACGCGTTGTCATCGTCTGATCCGTCCTGGTCGTGACGGTTCAGCCACCGGTCACTGATGGAGCTGGCCTGGCTGGAGCGTCTTCGTCTTTCAAGGTATCCTGAAAAAGACATCGTGTAGCGTCGCAGTAAGAACTTAAATTAAGACGAAATATACCATATTTTACATCAAGCATCCATATCAGTATGCCTAAGCATGATATGAGTGAATGGGCCTTACTGATGAACATGACAGTTATCATGGTTATGTACTTGTGATAGTGTGGGAAAATGTTCACTAACCTATCGAGTAAGGATCCTGAGATTCACGTTGAGAAGACCGTCTCCTTTGAGCTGAAGCATCGATACCTGGTGATGGTGGGCCGGGGTATGCAGGAGGAGGAGGCTGGGATTCACGCCGCTGACTCGCGTGTGCTGAAAATAGCGTAAAAAGAATGAATGAATTGATGGATGCTGTTTTACAACCATCATGTACAGGTGTATGTAAATAAATAAATACTATGTAACGAATACTCTAAACAAACAAAACGAAATGTACCTTGGTAAGAATTGGACGAAGAACGGTCTGTCTCTGCTGAAGGAATGTCCACCACCATCCGCATGCGTCCAGTGCAGATTTTCAGAAAGCTTCCTGGGATGGACGGTGTTATCCCGAGGTGGAGCGGAGTGATGAGTCTGTGATGTCTGCTGACGAGCGTTGGTGTCGTTGACGAAGTAGCTGTTTCTGACCCGGACCGGAACTCCCACGCTAACGTACGTCTTCTCCTCGGCCGTTCTGCCGTCAGGGGATTTCTCCGACACGGTCCAAGTCGTGGTCTTGTCAAAATCGAACGGCACAAGATGCTGCGGTACGGCGCTCCGTTCCGGTTGGAGCTGCTGAATCTTGTTGTTCCGACCAACCGTCCAGTGAACCAACTGACCGAAGTCGAAGGCAAATGCCTGTCTTCCCTGTGGGCTGTGCACTTGTGAAGATTGCCGCGCCACGCGTGGCTGTTGGTACTGCTGTGACGTATAGGCCTGTTGTACCATTCCGGGCTGTTGAGGTTGCTCTACGTAGATGGACTCTTGGCTGCTAGGAATCCTTTTGAAAAACATACTATGCGGATCCGCTGGTGGTACAGGACTCATCTCACTGCCTTCTACGGACACAGTTGACCAGCCAGTCCTTGGTTCGCCATGACCTCCCAACTCATGTTTTCCTCCGGTAGTCATCTTGATGATTTTGTCGTAGTCGAAGTCATCATCACCTCTGTCTGCCACCGTGTCTGTGGCTAACGAGTGGGTTGATGGCCACTGTCTGGTGGGATATCCAACTCTAGGAATGTTCCCAACCTTCGCATTGCTAGCTTGCTGAACCGAGGGAGGCCGGTAGACTGACCAAGCTTGTGGCGGTTGCTCACTGACTTCTTTGCTCCTGAAGACTTCGTTGTGTCCGTGAGCATCGACGCCACCTTCAGCCTTCCTCAGCGGGTTATACCTGATGATCCCTTGCTGCATGAGAGAGTCCAGTTCTCCTACAACTTGTATCTCAGCCGGTACCCAGTTACTGTGTAGGGTCGAGGAATCTGTTCGGTGGAAGTCATCAGAAGTGACCACGTGCTGTGCCCTCTGTTCTACTGGAGAGAGGGGTCCGTCAGAGGAGGGGCCTTCCGCGGGCACAAGCCGCCACATAGACGTCCGGTGCTGCAGCTGGGGTAACTGCGCTTCGGGTAGAGTTGCCGGGATGGTTTCTCGTGTTCTGTCCGCCCCGTGACTGGAAAAATGTTGCGCGTGAGTCTTTCGGAAGACGTCAACCGGCGTGTCGCTCTCCTGGAAGACGCTAGGTGGAAGTGGGGGAATAACTGAAGCGATTTCGACCCTTTCTCCGATGACCCTCTCGGCGGGTGCTTGGTAACTCTGCACACTTCCGACTTGCACCTTCTGCAAAACATCTTCAGGAATGCGGCCCATTCTGGCGGCGTTTGCTGGAAGCGGTGGGATGACATTGATGATTTCAGTTTCCACCAATGGTGCTTCCAATGTATCCATCTTCATTCTCTTTGGATACTCTGTCCGTGCGCCTTGGACAGCTATCACGCGATCTTGGTGAAGATTACGCACTGGTGGGACATACACTTCCAGCGGCTGCCATCTAACATCCCTCACTTTTACCAAAGTTGTAGTCCGTCTTCGCGGAGCAGGAACAACGTACCCATAACGTTGAGAGGGAACCTTTGTCGATCTTGCCCTATATGATGAGGATGGTTGGATGGTGCCCACATACCGCTCTCTGGTGCCGATTATTTGCTCCCTTCCCAGCTGTTGGATGCGGTGGGACTCTGCACGAGCTCTGTCTAATCGCAAACGTGGCAAGGAGGAAGTTCGCGCTCTTTCGGAAGAAGATGGTTTTATCAAGACGATTTGTTGCTCTCTGTCAGCAATGACATCCTCCCTCGCCATCTGACGAACTCTGTGAGTGCTGGAGCGAGCACGGTCCATTCTCTCGCGTGGGAGACTGGACTCCCTTGCTCGGAATGTATCATGTGGTTCCAAGGAACCAACGGTGTGTTCCGCAAAGTCGTCTGTGTCTTCTCTGGCAAGTTGGTGAACCCTATAGGCTTCGATTCTAGCACGGTCCATTTCCAGATGAGGAAGGCTCGATCCTCTGGCCCTTTGAGTCTCGTCCGAATCAAACCCATGAACACTGTGTTCTTCGAAGTCATCAGTGTCCTCCCTGGCAAGTTGTTGAACCCTGTAGGCTTCGATTCTTGCTCGGTCCAGTTCCAGATGAGGCAAATTCGATTCCTCTGCCTTGTCAGACTCATCAGATGCCAAACCGTGAACGCTGTGGTCTTCAAAGTCGTCTGTGTCCTCTCTGGCTAGTTGGTGTACCCTATAGGCTTCAATTCTGGCACGGTCCATCTCCAGATAAGGAAGATTTGATTCTTCTGCCTTGTCAGATTCATCGGATGCCAATCCGTGAACGCTGCCGTCTTCAAAGTCGTCTGTGTCTTCTCTGGCCAGCTGCTGAATCCTGTAGGCTTCCGCTTGAGCACGGCTCATTTCCAAGTGAGGGAGTGAGGAAACATTTGCAGTGTCCCCCCTCTCCGGAGGAATGTTGTCAACATATTGCTCCTTAAGATCCAGTGAGTGTTCTTCTGGGAATCTCTCCATTCGGGAGGACCCTACGTGTGCCTGGTCCAGGTGTAGATGAGGAAGAGTTGACGTGCTTGCTGTGTCAGAAACCGACGGTGCGATGGTGTTAACATATTGCTCCTTCAGATAAATACTGTGTTCTTCAGGTAACTGTTCGGTCCGAGAGGCGACTGAATAAGCTCGGCTCATCTCAGTACTGGGCAACGTACTTAATTCTGCATCATCTTCCTCGTACGGTGGAATGATGTAGATGTATTCTTCTCTGGCCTCTATCACTCCTTCATCTCCAAAGTGCTGTGCTTGCAGAATCTCTGCCGTAGACGACGTTACATTTCTAGTCTTTGAGTAGGCACCGCAATGATCTGTGCACTTTCTCCAGTCACCTTTGGCGGTATGGTATCCACAGTCTGTTCTTT